AAGTTACTTCCCTTCTCTGTTTTCTGTGTTCAGCTATTATTCTATTACTTTTTGTTTAAACAAGATCCAGAATTTTAATTCCTGTTTAAAGAATAAAAAGAAGCTTTACATTTAAAAACTGGATGGGAAAGGTGTAAATGTAACAAAGTACTAAGAGATGCAATAGGCAGGATATATGCCCATATGTGATACTATATTAGTGGTAGGTTGAATGCTCTGAATGCATAATATATTTGACCACATCAGCCCTCTCTGCATCTCTCCATTGACTCCTTCTCTATCCCTCAAAACGACTATTTGACTTCACTTCCAAGGCCCCTCAAGGTCTATCCTCATCCTACCTATGATCTCTCCTTTAGAATCAAAAGTTCGACTTCTGCCTCTGATCAGCCCATGATGTCAGTCTCCATTGCCCACTTGTTAAATTTAAAACAGGCACCTTCAGGGCTTTCTCCCATGCCACCCCTCACTTGTTTCTTTGCACTTGCCTGTCGGTCTGTATCCATCCATTGTTTCTTGTCTTACACTTAGATTGTAAGCAATTTGGGGCAGGGAGTGTCTTTGTTCGGTGTGTGTACAGCGCCCAGCACAGTGGGGTTTGGGTCCATGATTAGGGCTCCATAGGCACTACAATAATACCAATAATACATTAAACTCAAATACAGTGTGTGAACTGAGCATCTTGCCAGAATGAAAAACAAAGCTAATGTAGAAGACTGTGTACTTCTGTGAAATATGTTTCGATAAGACACACACCAGATTGCACCAAATGGCATCCCAAAGACAAAACATGTTCTTCAGAAGTATATTTATGAGCCAAGGATAAAAGATATCCTTGCCAGGGATAATTTAGCTGCATTCAGAGAGAGTCACCATGAACTCTCCTTGGAGGTAGGGAAATCCACCCAGCTCCCTGTTCAGATCCAAACATGTCTTGAATATATTGGGAGACTTTTTAAGGTCTTGGAATTTGATGTTATCAGGCACAGTGAGCAAAACATGTGTGAGGGACAATTCTCCAAATAACCAAAGGGTCTCGCATTCACTAGTCTCCCTGAAGTAGCCGAAAGACTGTGTATGCATTCCACTGAATTTAAGATTAGGTTTTTTTCAAAAGGTTCCTCATAATTATCATCAGGATCTTCACATTGATTTCAGTTTTCAAGCTGTTCTTCAGGTAGTCTTCTCCCACTAGACAAAAAGCCAATAAATCCGCCAGACGGCCCCGTACGCAGAAAATGTCACCAGTTTTCACCTTGCTAAGCCACATACCCACAATTCCACACTCAAAGGGGCAGGCAGGTAGGGTTTTTAAGCGACCATAAAGGGACAAGAACTTGAGAAAGGATGACAACTGAATGAGGAAGTTGCTGCAGAGAGCTTGGGAAGCCAGTGGCCCATTTACCTACTGGAATTGATGCAGGAATCTTTGATAGGAGCATAAGCATGATAGCACCTTCTGGGATAGTTATGCAGCTCAAAATTCCCCATCAGAGGCACTTCTGCAGAGCCAGCTGCAAAGCCTAAACTCCCAACCATGAGCTTGCACTACTAACTGGGCTACTCTCTAGTTTGCAGCATCCCTGCCCATTACTATTAAGGCTGATCCAGCTCCAAGGGTGAATACCGTGCCTAGAACAAACTGTGTCCCAACTGTTGCTGGGTCTGCACTTCCCTTCTTCATCTCTCAGTGATAACAACCATGATCAGAGCAAATTAAACACAACTTCCAGGCTGGAGATCTGCGTTCCTGCCTCACTCCTACATTAAGTGAGCTAGACTAGGCTTAGGCAAAAGGAAAAGCTTTCAGTTTACTCTGGCTGCCACATTTCCCACTGGGTAAAGAGGCTGCCAACAGCAATGGGTGCACTGCATTTACTCTAGTTACTTCGTTTACCTGCAGAGGGTGAGGGGGAAGAGACAGTTAAATGGAGAGAACTCAGTACAGACCCACAACCATAAAAATTTAACTGGATCTATATTGAGAGACCTCAGTGGGTGCTGAATACACGTGTCTGTGACACTTGCCAATCCAAAGAGAAAAACAAGCTATAGCCTGGCCTTTGAATACAGAAGTAGAAACAAACAAGCACTTGAATTCCATCTCCCTTTGCAACTTGGTATATCTTGCACGCTCTAAACCAGGCTCCCCCTGACCAAGAGACACACATAAATGCAGTCTAAACTTGTTTCTCAGAGCCAAACTACACAAAAATTTAGGTAGGGGGACAGTGAGCATCATGCTTAACTGAAACAAATAAATTTGAATTGTCATCTGAAATATCTGCATCCAATCCCCACTGAACCCCATTGTCCTCTGTCCCCAAACAATCTCCTTCCAATTCTAATTGTGTAATCTTTCAGGAAAGGAGAGGGTTACTAACCCTCATGGAGTCTCTACACCTTCCTCCCAGGCCTTTTGAGAGCTAGCAGGCAAGGCTGCTATCCTAAAATCTTGGATGGCAAAACCCCTTTCCCTGAACACTGTAGGGGAAAGCAGAACAGAGCTATTCCTTGCTGCTACTACTGACACCATGCTCACTCTCGCTCACTGGCTCTGAAGGAGCACACAAAACATAGCCACTCTCTCTGAGAAAAAAAGTGTCACAATAGCTTTGTTTAACCCTTTTGAGCGCATGGGATCAGTTCAAACAAAATAGCAGAATCAGTACCAGGCAATATTTCTAACTCTACTTGAAATACAAAAACTTTTGCCACAAATGTTTTCAGTCACCTTCGGTGCAGGAGTTAATCAGCCCATCGATAGAAAAATGAACTTGGTAACATACTAGAAAATAATACTTTCATTTTTATTGTAGGATAACCACTTTTTCCTGTTTTACCAAAATTCAACATTAGTGCCTAAATGATGACTTCCTATTCAAGGTGCCCACAGGCAGAGGCAATATCACCTCACAGATTTTGTTACTTTGGGACTCTGAACATTTCTGTGGGAATCAAACAGGAATGCTGGGATCTTAAATTTGGAATGAACATCAGTCAAGAGAATTTGTACATATTTTCAATGCAAAGTATCAGATTTCATTATGCCATAATTTTAGCACATTTAAAATGTTCTACAAACTTATTAAGACAATCTTATGGCAAATTTCCAAGGTATGCGGTAGATCTAGGTATCATTAATTCTCAGCATGCACTGGCATTCTGTTGCAGGTTAACCTTGCATGAAGTAATATTACAGCTTAAGAAACAAAACAAAGAAACAACAAATCTGCAGAATTCATGTGTGTGTGTTAACAAAAAGGTACTGGATTTAAGTTTCCAATGACTCTGCTATCCAGGATATCACTATCCCTAGTCTTATACCCTGTAGCCAGTGGTGAGCTGGAGCCAGTTCGCACAGATTCACTGGAACCAGTTAGTGGTGCCTTAGGTGCCGACTCTGTGGGTGCTCTGGGGCTGGAGCACCCACGGGGAAAATTTGGTGGGTGCACAGCACCCACCAGCAGCTCCCCACCCAGCTCACCTCCGCTCCGCCTCCTCTCCTGAACGCTCTGCTTCTCCGCCCCCTCCCCCTGCTTCCCGCGAATCAGCTGTTCGTGCAGGAAGCCTGGGAGGGCTGAGAAGCAGGCGGGGGCTTCGTGCTCAGGCCCAGGGAGGCGGAAACAAGCTGGGGCAGGGGGGCATGAGGAGGGCCACCCGCACCGCAGCAGGTAACTGGAGGGGCGGAGGGCACGCAGGGGAACCGCTCCCTGCCCCAGCTCACCTCCTCCTCCCTGGGCCTGAGCGCGAAGCCGCCTCCTGCTTCTCAGCCCTCCCAGGCTTCCCGCGCGAACAGGTGATTTGCAGGAAGCTGGGGGAGGTGGCGGAGAAGCAGAGCGGGGCGGCGCGTTCAGGAGAGAAGGCGGAGCGGAGGTGAGCTGGGCGCGGGGTGGGGAGCTGTCGGTGGGTGCTCTGCACCCACCAAATTTTCCCCATGGGTGCTCCAGCCCCAGAGCACCCATGGAGTCGGTGCCTAAGGCGCCACTTTTGATGTGATCAGTGGGGGGAGCGGCCGCTCCCCCTGCTGCCCCCCCAGCTTCGCTACCCGCCCCTAGGAGCCAGAGGGACCTGCCGGATGCTTCCTGGGAGCTGCCCCAGGTAAGCAACACTGGGACTCCCCACCTCGCCCCCTAGCAGGTCCCTCTGGCTCTTAGGGGCGGGGCGGGCACCCACTACGGTGGCCGATGAGACGCTCCTGCCCGGTTCTGGGGGCAGTCAGGGGACAGAGGAGGGGGGTGGATGGGGCTGGGATCCCGGGGTGGGAGGGGTGTCAAGGAACGCAGGGGGTTGGATGAGGCAGAAGTCCTGGGGGGGCGGGGCCCCGGGGTGGGCCCCGACCCCCTTGTAGGGTGAGGAGGGAACCAGTTGTTAAAATTTTGGCAGCTCATCACTGCCTGTAGCTATGCATGCGTCACACACATTTACAAAAAGATGCATTAACTAGTGTTTTCCTCCCACTTCCGCCATACTTCTCTTTGCATGAGACTAGAGGAGCAATTGTGCTAAAGTGACTCCTGAAATTCAGGACTCCCACGTGGGTGAAGAGACCCTCAAGTCAGGTCCCAGTCTTAGGGCTGCCATCTTCATAATATTTAGAAACTGGACACTCCAGCAGGACTGCCAGAACCTTCCCTGCCCTGTCCCTTCCCCCCTCTGCTTCCCCTCTCCCTCAGTCTAGGTTGAGAGGATCTCGCCTGCAGAGCTGGGGCTGGGAGCTATAGCAACCTGACACAGGTAGGAGGCAGCCCTGGTTGAGTTGGGGCTGGAGCAGGTAATGAGCCAGTGCTTCCCCACTTTCCCCAACCTCAGCAACCGGACTTTGGGTGTCCAGTCAGTAGATCCGCCCGGACACTGTCAGGTCCACTTTTTGATTGGACTTGCTGGTCAAAAACCAGGCACCTAGCCACCCTACCCAGTCTGCAATATTCTAACAACTCCTCAAGCAAGAGAGAATGAAAAAAAAGCAATTTTTTAGAAGAAGAATGTTAAAAGATTACCTTATCCTCTTATCTTCCACTTTTTTCAAATACTCATCTCTCTTCAATACTCCTAGTATTGTTTCCCTCTCATGTTCCAACAAAAATGACAAATTGATGATCTCCAGGTTTTTTGACATGATTCTTCAATAGTGATTTTTCCAACAGTTGGGTTTCCAGAGAATAAACTGTTTACTGCAAGTTTCAAAGGCACATTTGTCACACAGGTACAAGATTTACAAGATAGCCTGACAGAGAGCTCTTCATTAAATTACCCAGATATTAAAAGCATGTGACCATGTCTTCCACCTGCAGGAGAGAAAGGTTTCTGCTGTGTTCTTTAAGAAATTCTCTCATTTTCCTGGTTACAGAATGTTCATTGCATCTTTTCTGGTCTTCCTTGACATGCTGCAAGCCTTCAACCCACATTCATAGAAGGTGTCTGAGTTCATCTTCAACACATCAACTGTCGTCTGAAGCCACACAACAGCTGGATATTTAGACTCAAACTATCTGAAAGTCAAAAAGAAATAAAAGGAAGTGATTTTGACATTATCCCAGTCTCATCTAAGAGAAGCTAAATGAAACAGTGGTTTGGGAATCAATGTCTAATCACCTGCAGACTAACAGATTGCCCCCAGGGTCATCTATGGCCAGTACTTTCTCTTTGCTACTGTTTACTCTAAAGTGTATGAATGTCATCATGCAGGCGTCCCTCCTTCTGTAAATTCATTTGCAATTACTCTCTGGTTGTGGAAGTCCTGAATTGGCTAAACTCACTTTGGACTTGATTTTGCTATTCTTATCATGATTAGCACCATGCCACACAAACACTCCACGAATTTCACTCGGACTACTTGGATAGAAAGGTACTGCTTAATGAGAGGAGGGATGGCAGAATTGGGCTCGAGATGTCTTTGTGTGCTCTAAGGATATCACATTTCCCTTCCTCCTTCTCCGCCCCCCTCACCAATGGAACAGAACAACAAGAATCCTGAATGTCTATATCTGAGTACTAAACATACCACCATTTCAAACAGTTTGCCTCTGCTTCATGTGGTGCATGACAAGAGAACTAAAATTTTAGGGCTGTTAACCTGGAAGTTCTAGTCATCACTGCCTCACAAACTGGAACTGAAGGAAGGCACAACTGATACCGAGCTTATTCATTTAAGATAGAAGTACATTTTTATATTTGTGTGAGTCTTTTCAAAGGTTGATCTAATCTGAGTGTGTTGGGAAAGTCTGATGTGGGAAGGGGATGAGAGGCTGGGTCCAATGGAAACAGGCAGAGCTTGTATACAAGTTCCTGCAGCTCTCCTTCCTCATTAAGCCTACTCTCCAGTCACTTTTGAAAGCTTTCCTTGCCTCTCTTACATCTTCCATGTAAGTAAAAGGCCAATGGCAAGTGGTACCGAGGTGGAAGCAATAAGAATGAAGTAAAGCTAAAATGGACAACAATGGACCTGAAGAAGAGCAGTGTGTGGCTCGAAAGCTTGTCTCTCTCACCAACAGAAGTTGGTCCAATAAAAGATATTACCACACCCACCTTGTCTCAACAATAATAGGGATAGATAAACTTATGCTTCACTACCTAGTCATCACCAACAAAAGCACAGCCACAAAATACAGTATAACTGGACAAAATGAAAACGTCCTTTCCACTAAATTACTTAAATCTAGGAACAGAAATTCTGAAAAATTAGTGTTCAAGTGTGAGACCCCCCACCCCCAAAGCTTGGTGGTGAGCTTATTAGTAAATCAAGTAAATGTCACACTTTCAGGAGATTCTGCCTTGCATTGACTTCTGTTACAACAGGGATTACGTCTGACATTTCATAACCTCTTCTCAGAATGATCTTAAAAACCCCCCACCTCAGATCAATGAAAAGCTTACAGCTCCTCTACAGAATATTGCTTTTTCTCTGAAAGCAATTCAATTGCAATATTACAACAGCAGTGTTTTATGAGATGAAAATGCTGTAAAAAAACAAACATCAGATCTTAGCAGTACTACTGTGATTCAAATAAATATATTATCATGCCCCCTTTTGTGGGTGAAGAAAGTAAGACAAAGAGGTCAAGTGACATGCCCAAGGCACACAGCAACTTAGCTGCAGAGTCAGGAATAGAATTCAGGACTGCCCCACTCTCATCTCTGTGCTTATCCCTCCTGGAACACGGGAAACAAATATTTGAGTTATGGACCAGAGTATGTCCTTTGTTCAGATTGTGATTTATTTTAAATATACCATAAAAATAAAATAATTTAAATATACTTTCTAAGCAATTTTACAATGATTGATAGTAACATGTTTGATATGCTGCTTTTAAAAGAAAAGCACCAACAATGAATTGCTTCTTCTAATTTTCACTCTAAAGTGCACTTGAAGAAGCCTCTATTCATGGTTGGCAGAAGAAGTAGCTGAAAAATGTAATGCTGATAGTTATGTACATAATTTGCATTTGCTGGATTCCACTTCAGCATCTATGTCCTGGCCATGCCCCATTTCCACCCCAACACATTCACTTTTCCTCTGTCTCAGCCAGACTCATTTCAGTGTTCTGGGAGTGCCTAAATGTGCATCCATTTCTAAGAACCGTGCACATCTCCTCCTGCTACATTCAGGTGCTGAGCAAATGGTGATTGCTCATTCTTTGGTTCCTTATACTTTTTAGCAATACTTGGTAGCCAAAAAGACCAGCCAGATCGTTCTTCTAAACAGTAGGAACTCTGACCATACCAATTCATTGATGGACATCAGGGTCTCAGTTCAGCGAGGTATGTAAGCACATGCCTAACTTTAAGCACACGAGTACTCCCATTAAGAGCAATTACTTCTAAAGTATGAGTTCTTACTGGCAAACATAAAGCCATATTACTGTATTTGTGAAGCTGAGAGACTGGAAAAAAATATGGAAAAAATCTACATGCGAAGTGAATGTCCCATTACCAAGCTTTAATCCCACAAACAATTCTTTCTGGAAAGCCCAACTGACCCAATTCTAAATCTAATTCAATTCAGTTTACAAACTGGGGAGTTGTAATATACTCATACTAGATATCACCGAAGACAGGATTCAGAGAAGAATTAGGCATTAATGTGGATAATGAGAACGCACATGGTTACATTGGATAGGGTAACTCATGCTTCAGGTAGAAGCCCATTACCAACTGACAGGTCAGGTTCTACTCCCATGGGCAGGTTATCCATTTTGTAGTTTCTTACTCCTCTCTCAAAAGTGTCCACTGATAGTTACCTTCAGAAACAGGAGAGCAAACTGGATGGACACCTGTTATGACAATTCTTGTGTTCGTATCTGCCTGTCTGCACTGTAAAATAGTGGCTTAATGCCATCTGTGTCCTGCACAGAAACCATTACAGCTTTTTTCCGCTGAATGCATCCGATGAAGTGAGCTGTAACTCACGAAAGCTCATGCTCAAATAAATCTGTTAGTCTCTAAGGTGCCACAAGTCCTCCTTTTCATTACAGCTTTGTTTGTGAAGTCTATTGAAACTGATTTGACTTGTGTTACAGAACGTCTTCTAGAATATTATAATATTTACCAAGTGGGCAGTTGGGCACAATTAACAGGTACGTTATCCAGATTTAAAAGGTGTTTGTAGTTAAAGTCTTTTCTTGTGTAAAACATACCATTGGTTAACTGTTACAGTGCCACATAGTTCTCCCATTACACAGCCGGAAAAGTTTCACTCTATTTGAAAACTGTTTTTGAATCTTTTACAGAAGTAGTCTAGGGACAAATCCTTCAGTCCTTACTCATGGAAAAAATCTCCCTGATTTCAACAGTGGCTTTACCTGAGTAATGACGGCAAGATTTGGCTCCTGTTGATGTAGGTGTCACCTAAAGTTACTGTTTTGCTCTGGTTTCATATTTACAAAATAGTCTGCCCTATATAAAAACTGTTAAACTACTTTTAGTAAAACACTATTCTCTTTCCTTCTTGCCTACGGCCAAGATTACCGGCTGATGAATCCTGCAGCACAGGCGAATAAGGGGATGCAAGGCTACCTAGAAGCCCTGGTCATGGACATGGACCAGGACCAGGCACTACAGAAATACAAATAATAAAACAAACAAAACAAAATAAATACCACCTGTGCCAGTTGCCCTCATTGCAGGTTGTAATGGAAGGGAAGGAGGCGGGGAACAGCAACCTCCACAGGACCACAACTTCCACCCCCCACCACTCTGGTGTGTGGGCAGAACCCCCAACACACATATCAGTGCAGCTGTGCCAGAAGAAATATTCTGTGCTACGCAGAGTCAGAGTCTGCTTCCTGGTTCCCTTACCACCAGCATCAGTGGGAGGAGTTATCTGGGCAAGATATAGGCCTTACCCCCTGAATCCCAAGCGGGAGCAGGGAAACTGGGAGGTTGCTTGCGGCTCTGTCACAATCTGGTTCCCGAGTTGCTCCTGGGATAGTGACAGTATTTAATTTGGTTTAAAAAGTCTTGGACAGTTCCATAATTGGAATCATTGGATTCAGCAGCCAGATCATTTTTCTAAACAGTAGGAACTATGACCATACCAATTTATTGATGGACATCAAGGTCTCAGTTCAGCGAGGTATGTAAGCACATACCTAACTTTAAGCACAAGTACTACCATTAGCTTCACTGCAACTGCTCGTGTGCTTTAAGTTAGAAGCGTACTTCAAGGCCGTACCACACTGGAGGCCAAGTAAGGAGTGAGTAACTGCCACTGAATCTAGTCTGGGTTTGATGAGTCCTGCAAGGGCTAGGGTTGAGGACTGTTTCATTTAGTATTTTCACCAGCGGTCTGGAAAACACACATTTGCCCAAGATACAAAGCAGTAGCAAATGATTGGGAGAAGAGAGAAAGTACCAATGGGCCAGAGTTCAAATGGAACAAGGGATTATTCCAACGAACAAGAATTAAAATAAAATGAAATTTAAAATAAGAAGTCAGATTCAAGCTAGTGAGTTCTCCCCCCACAAAGGGAAGAATAAGTGAGCACAGTTAAATTCTGTGATTAACGTTAACAGTCTTTTCTGACTTTTATATTTAGGTTTATTGAATCACAAACTTTTGATGTCCTGGTTTTTAAACTCAGACTCTGCTCACTTACAAACGCTTGGGTTTGGCTACAACTACAGTGCTCTAATAACGTTTTAGATAAACACATATCTGTTGGCAAACTTAGGGTTAGAGAGCAGCTAAATGATCTATCCTGAGTATGGGGCAGCAGGAAGTAGTGTTGTCCTGGAGCAGGTCAGTTACAATCTGCCCTCTTGATCTCCTTTGCTTCTCCTGGGGGTTGGGGGAAGTAAACCATACCAGGCTTACGCCTGCCACAGTGCAGTCACCCAGCTTGCTGGTGCAGCAATGCTGACAAGCACATTGAGGGGTGGAGGTAAATGGGGGGCAGAGGGGACGCAATGAACCTAGAGACCACCCAGTCCACACCCTCCTTCACTCCACCCTCCAGCAGGCACAAGGTGGAAGTAGCAGCTCTGCCTCTCC